CTTAATGATTCTATGATTCTATGAATACAGCATTTTCTATAGGACATTTGTTAGTGAAACTTCCCTTATAACGCTGCATTCCTAGTGTGCTTGGTTCATGTGATTTTGGATAAATGGCCTTTACAAGTAAGATATCCTTCTGCTAACATTTCCATGCTTTTTATGCCTGCTTTATTGTCTTTTTATTTTCTGTGCTCTGAATTACAGCTGTCATTTCATCTGCACGAGATTTGTAGTTTCCTGCTTCATTCCCTGAATGTATGTTACTTCTCATTCATAGATCCTATTACATTATCTCCCGTTTCCACCTGCTGCATGACACAGGACAAGGAGTATCAAAGACCATCCCTTTGACAGGGATGTTTCAAGTCATATCAGTCATATCACATATTCGGAAATTAAATTTCAAGTATCAGTTAGACATGGACAATGGAAAACCTGATTAAGTAAGATCATCCAGTGTTCAGAACTCCTGAGGAATATCATAGCTATGGAAAGAAGTTTTCAATAAACTTATGCTATGCATTTTTCTTCTGCCTGTTAGTAATTCCATTTCCGCAAAGCCAGAAAATTATTTCCAGTATCTTAGACACAAGACACAAGTACATTGTTTTCAAATAATGTAATTTCTCTTATTTCTGAACAACAGAACTTGATTTAGCCCTATCTTGCTTGTTTTCCCTCACTCTCTTGTATCTTACCTGTCTACATGTTATCAGTGTAGAAATTTGAACATTATTGCTTGTTTTCAAAGAAAAATAAGTAATGTTTGACCTTTTCCCATACTGCAAGCTCTAAGGCCAAGGAATCAGTATCCTCTGAGCCACATACCTGATCCTCTGTTCGTCTCCTATTCTGGTATGTAATAACAAATTTATTTAAAATGATATCACAAAATGGTAAGATATACTTATAGCTCACATTTCATTACGAAATATTTTTACCACTCCTGCGATAAAATAATTCATGTTGCATATGACTCATTAAAAACCAACCAAACCCCCAAAACCCAAAGATACTTTAAATCATGAAGATTGCTAACTTCAGAGAACTAAATTCACACTTAAGATACATTTGTCTTTGAAAGGCAAATAAATGCAGTTCTTGAAAACAAAGATTACTAGATACTATTCATCTAAAACCAAAGTTGAAATATCCTCATTCATCAACCAACAGAAATTTTAGACAAAGGGCTTATTTAAGATAAAAGTGAAAACCAAAATTAGAAAGTTAAAATAAATAAGAACATACGGAATATACCTTTAATAAATAGTTTTCTCTTCTGTTACTCTACGAATATTTAGACACACGTTTCTTAAGCAAAAATCAACACACGAACTTACCAATATAAAATAAGCATTCAGAATGCAACATACTCTCTGTCCACAACTGACATACTTCGCTTTCTGTAAGAGCTTCAACACCGTAATAGGCTTGGTATTCTAATTTTGGCAACAGGAATATTGGAGTAAGCTATAAAAGTGAAGATACAAGAAAAATCAGCACTCGCTGTCCAAAAGACGTCCACAATTGAACTACATTTTGTAGTTGATAATCATCATAGTCTTCCACTACAGCTGAAGCAACAAAGACATTTCACACAGTTTTGTGTTATGACTCACATTCTATGAAACCCACAGTACAAACTTCGGACTACAGAGACTCTATATACAGGAAGGTGAAATGGACAAAAAAGAAAAAAAAAAGACTAGGCAAGCTTTTACAAATAACAAAATTTTGCCGGTAAGTAATTTTTCCATGCAACTAAATTAATTTGAAGTTTACACTTTTGTGCTCTACTGCCCTCTGCAGGAATTAAAAAAAAATACATTATTATATTTCTGATTATTATTAGTGGAATCCTGCCATTTATTCCCCGTGTCAGAATCTCACTTGAAATTAGAACCTAATGCTTGGACTCTCGTTTGAAATCAGAGGGTAACCTTTGCATGTTAACAGTAACAGAGAAAATATAAGCCTCTTCTCACTGACAAATCACAGTTTAAGTTTCAGCTTTTTTTTTCAACAGTGCTCAGTTTCTTATTAACAAACTAAGCAGCTATTCACAGGCATTTATAAGCAGTGGATCAATAGCAAAGAGATGGTATTTCTTCAAAATAAGATTCTAAGCATGGAATCTTAGCACATTATCAGAGTTACAAAGATCTATTTCCATTTCAACAAAGCATAAACACCTCACAAAATGCCTGCCTACCATAATTCTGGTATTCTGGGGAGGGAGATACCTTTTGTTGAATGATTCAGAGGACTCTTGACAAAATAAAAAATTACTGAGGATTCCAGAATAAGCTTTCCTTCTCCTGATGTTACAAGGAGTATTTGGATTACGCTTGCATTTAAAGCATTTTATTTCTCATGACAAACTATTTGCTAGATAGTATACCATAGTCTTCTCAACCAGAATGAATAGGTTCTCTGTTTTTCTTTAAATGTGTCCTCTGTTGTTCATTCTATCTCCTATTTCTCTGTTTAACTAGGCATAATAGCAAGGCTGAATCCTGCTTGAAAATATTTATGATTATGAACATCCTCAAAACCTTGGGCCAAAAACCTAATTACTGCATTAACTTTTAAGAATAGTTCAAACTGACATTAGTTTACATGAGTATAATTACCCAGGCATATTACTGTAATGCAGTTGTAGTAAGAAATGCAGAATCACATTTGCTTATCTTCTAATCAAGTAGGTTTAAAGAAATTAGAAGTTATTTTTCCCTTTCTTCCTACAGCAAATATTTACTTAAAGACGACACACACTGTAGAGTTACAATTAAATGTACTAATTGAGCGAAAACACAAATGCTATGAAGGACTGGGAATCCCAGAGATGCCAGTTGAGCACAGCTGTTTAAAAAAACAAAACAAAAAAGCTAACAGCAAAATCTGTACCTTTTGGGCTTTTTTCTTTTTATGGTATCGTGGCAATGATTTCACTTTTTGCACACTGCAACGCACAAGTAACAACAGATCATTCAAACTGAATAGCTTATACACAAGGTTGCCATCCTGAGGTGCTTTATACTCTGAAGGGTCTTCTTCAAGCATCTGAAGTTCATTTGGCAGCTTTCCTATAGAAAATAAACAAAACAGAAAATGACAAGCTTGCACATTCTTTACCGTGAAGCTAATTAGTTGTTTTCCTCTTGCAGTAGATTTTTTTTTTACGGTTGTGTTTTTTTTTTTTAAAATAGGATCTCTTTTGTTTCCTCAGATTTTGGGGTGAAAACAGTGTCATTAGGCACAAGAAGTCACTTATGCAATTAAAAAAAAATTAAATTTGGAAAATGTCCACTATAACTTTTAAAGAGTATATTTTTAAATATTCCGCATATTTTATCCTAAGCATTCTATTTCTTACACAAACAGAGCTGTGAGACTCCATGCTTGTAGAAATGGAGTTCAAAGGCTGGTTTTTAAGCTACAGTCACTTAGGAGACAAAAATTTTATTACAGTGAAGGCCTCCTGAGAGCCGCCATCCATTTATCAGTTACTGAAATAACTCAAACCTCAGGTTTGGATGGTAGCATAAGCTTCTGTTCCAAATTGAGTTTGCTTCAACCTCAATTTCAACACTAGTATATCAAAAGAAACCCTTACTAGATCTCCAAGTGTAGCTTTGAGGTAGGTTAACAAACATCCCTGCAACCCTTAACAAAACATTAAAAATAAACAAGAACAAACTCCAACTTGTTTAAGATTATTTATTGAAAATTTATCCAGTTTTGGTTTTTGTCCTGCAGATATGTGGAAATATGTGTCAAAACTACAACTACAAATAGGTATTGCTGTAGTGCTATGAATAAATACACTTAACATTAAATTTAGAGTTTATGTGCATCTTTGAATAAATGTATACTGTGTGAGATATTATCATCTGAGTGACCAGAAATAATTTTCTGTTCGTAAAATATTTAACTTCATTCTGGCTTTCTGCAAAAAAGACATGCATAAAGGTTTATCAGCTTGCTATAGAACTTTCAATTTGTAGAATTATGCTTTCTATTCTTTCGCAGTCACTCTTCAGCATCTTAGCAATATTGGTTTCACTACCTCTATTGAAAAAAAAAAAAATTTCTATTATCAAACACCTGAATTCCATACTCTGGCTTTTTAAGAGAAGGAGAAATAGAAAGAGTACCATGTTGCTCAACCCTTCGAACTGAGGGAGGAGACATGGTCTTTCAGTGACTACTAAAATTCAGTTAAATCAATAAAAAAGTAGGCTGTGATAACACAATTTCAACTAAACCAGAATTAGTTAACTGTTTCCATTACAGATTAAGTATTAATTAAGATTAATTCCCACCTGATCAAATGCACAGCTAGTCAGAAAATACCAGCAAAACGTTTTCCCACCGAAAAGCACTGATTCATTGGAATTAAATATTTGAGAAAAAGAGTATCTGTCCTGATGCAACGTGCCCAGTTTCCTGTCAATTTACCTAACACAATAAAGTGCTTCTAACTTCAGTTGTACAGAACTTAGAAGCAACTCAGGCATGTGGAAAAAACCTCAAAGTCATGGTCCCTCGGATCTTCAAGACTTCTAGTTCTTGGTTGAGGTCTGGGTGTAGCGTAGGTTTGATTTCCACCTAAATGCCTGAAAACTTAGAGAGGTGGCTTGTAGTGTGTCCTCCTTAGTCTTCTGGAACAGATTGCTAGGAGCCAAGAAACAGCAACTGAACTGGGAGTATCAGAACATAGATACCCAAATTTCAAGTTTTCTTTCAAGTTTTAATTGCATAATTTGATTATATTTTTCTTCTACAGAAAATGTAAAATAATTCTATTTTTGATTGACAAGAAACTATTTTTGCAGACCAGACTACTCAAATATTTGAATTTCTGAGGAAAAGTAACTTATTTCACTACCAAACGATTTATTTTCCTTGCTTAAAAACCTTGTGTATAACAACTTTTTGTTTCTCTAAAGTAAAACAATATTTTACATTCACCTGTGTGGACAAACAGCTCTCAAAATGCTCCCTTATATGTGCAAGACACAGAGAAGATATTCTTAAAAAAAAAAAAAAATTAAGTCACATCTCTAAATAAGTATAACAGAGGTACTATTAGGATGTTCTTCAGATGAAGGAGTTAAAATGTTTTTCTGTTAAATTTTACTGAAAATTTGAAATTTTACTCCTTACACAATGAACACAATTACTTACTCTTTGGCACTCCCTGAAAAAGCCAAGTCCAGGTATTTCTAGAGGAGCCACTGGGATTTGAGGCAGGGGCTGGCAGTGTTTCTGTGCTGGAGGTCACCAATGGTTTTGGAGATTGAGACACATGGGCTGGCGTAGCATTAGAATTATCACAGCTCACCACTGGCTGCTCATGAGCTTTTTGGGAAGGTGACTTGAGAAGTTCAGTTTGCATTTTCAAAATCTGTCCAACAGGATCAAATTCTTTGGACAACTTTCTTGTAGGCTTTCTGGAGGCATTTTTTCCCTGATCCATGATATCTGAGCAATCAGTCATGCTTGCTAATGGAATCTGGGTGGGGGAAGGCGATTTGGTAGTCTCTGCTGAGGTATGAGAAACAGCGTTTGGTACAGTTGTTTTGCAACAATCAGTGTTTTTACATTCTGTATCAATTATCAAACGCTCTTCATCCGTGTCACTACTGCATAAAGAAGTGCAAGTCTCATTTTTTGGTGCAGCATGAGACTCTTTCTTGTAACTAACAGCATTAGATAGAGTATTTAATTCTGTTTCATTGCCCGATACTTCTTTGGTCATGATATGCTGTGCTTTGTTCAGTCCTACCTCCTCTGAATTAAAGCTTTTATGAGATGAATTTTCTTCAAGGCTGAAGCACAGAACGCCATCTAATGATGGAAGCTGCATGCTGGCACATGCTGAAACTCCTTGCTCAGAAATGGTGTTTTTCTCTTCTTCACCTCCACTGTTTATGGTGGATGTATTTTTTTCCCCCATTTTTAGGCCATGTGATGAAACTTTAGCAGTGTTACTAACTGTAGGAAAAGTATCTTCCATTTTAGAAGTTCTTGAGAGCTTGACAGTTGCTCCAAAAGTTTCCAGTTCTGTAACATCATCATCAAAGTCCATCCCTGTGTCATCTGGAAGAGGAATCTTCCTGCACTGGTAGGTATCAGAAGACATCTTAACACAGGGAGGGAAAAATAGCAATATTAAAAAAAAAAAATAATCAAACAAACCAAGAAATAGAATGCGTTAATCACAAATGAGACATTGTCAAATTGAAAACATGAAAAATGGTCTGCTATCCATATTTTGACCCTTGGGATAGAGAGGCAGAAAATGGAAAAAAAATTCCTGTGTTTAATATGGAATAACATAAGTCCTGGGAGTTGAAAGGTCTTTCAAAAGAGAAATGAAGTTCATAAAATTTTCCAAGGTAAATAAACTGATCAAATACATTTTAATGAAGTAAACATTAAAGTTGAGATGCCAATGTAATACAAGCATTTAAAGGAACTAGACAGACATTTTAAAACAGAAGGTCCGTAACTCAGCAGTAGAAAAACTACCAACAGGAAACCTAATTTTTCCTTCATTATCACAGAACAAGTAACTTAGGAATTATAACACAGGTTTTTGATTTTGTTTATTTGTTTTTAAGAAAAGGTGAAGCTACATACATCCCACTGAAACAGATTGTCCTCAGCTGGTTTGTCCATCGATACATCAGAAATGGAAACATAAGACATTTTAGTTGCTAGGAAGTCCATTGGAATTTCATGGAAGATTTGGTTCCTCTCTCTCACTGTCATTTCCTTTCTCAGCAGGGGTGAATCAACATAAACCACTTTAGATGGTCTGCTACCTTTTCAAGAACGGAAAGAGACTGAGTACATATTAAATGAAAGGAAAAAAGATTATTGTATAATTTAAATAATAAATCTTTCAACTTCCAATTATGGTCAAATCCATTCCACATTCACACTAGAAGAAATGAAAAACTATCCTCTCATTCATTAACGACAGAAAATAGAAGTATGTCCAGATACAGTGTGAATTATTAGGATCCTGCAGCAGCAATACACACCACATTAACAGTCGATTGTATTTTAAATGCAGTTCTAAATACAGGATTTGTAAAATAAGAATCTAGGATTCATCACTCCTTATACTGCATTATATCATCAAATGTATTCTGTTTTCCAAAAAGATCTTTTTTCTTCCTTTGATGAACCTCAATTTTTTTTTTTTTCCTAAATTCTCATTGCCCAAAAGTGATGGCTGCAGTTTATATTTCTTCTAACCAGTAACTATGTCCATGCTCTGCTGCCCCACTCTTTTGTTTACACCTTAACACACTTACACATGAATCATTCATAGATTAATCCAAAAATAACAGCAATACCCTGCCCAATATTATACAGAAAGCAGAGGCACATGGTGAACATAGTATCACTGTTTTTGAGAAAAAAGTATCTGTGGATGAAAAAAGTATCATTAATGCAAGAGGCGGGTTACGGGGAAGGTGGAAAAGGAAGGAGAGGAGAAACCCTTCAAGAAACAGTGTATGTTGCTAACATATTCTGAACACCCTTTAGGTGTTAACTTTAGATCTAAAAATTAAATTTAAAAAACAGAAAGCTGATACAAAAGTAGTCAGGCATATCTTTACAGTAAAGTAATTTAATTTCATGTAGGAAAGTGTAAAATCTGTAAGATTTGCAGATATTTGACAGCTTATTTACTACTATCCAGAAGTCTGCTATACAAATTTGTGTGAAATGCACACAACGTGGACGTTCCAAGACAATAACCATTATAAATACCCATCATGAAAAAACCCCTAGTGTATTAAAAAAAAAAAAGCGTTGAAAACTTATTGAAATCAATTAACTTGATAATTTTAACAGCTTCATGCATTTGTTTTGTTTCCAAGGAGCAGAGCTTACAGTTTTGAAAAGCAAAAGGACATTTATCTGATTTTTTTTTCTTTTTTTTTTCGTCCAAGTGGAAAACAGCTGTATGTCCAAATTCAACGTTAATGGTGATACCCCTAGAGGTTGTTACTATTCTCAGTAACAAGGTGGAACAAGGTGTACAAAATTATAAAATGACATTGCTATCACCTTTCCTCCTTGAAAACAGAGGACAAACTATAGCAATGGATTTTTTTAAAGTTCATTTTTTACGATAACTTCGATTAAAGGCAACATTTTTCTTTACAACATAAAGGTCCCTGACTCCTCACCAGAAGACAGCTGAAAACTATTAACTTCAGATTTTTGCCCTTTAAGATGTGTGAACTAAATAAGTTAGATGTTATTACTTTGATTGATTCATTAAATTAAAAACATGGAAGTACTTAAGAGAAACTATTTTCTTACAGCTGCATTCTAGAGTGCTACTTCTTCAGAAAAGGTAAAAATCTGAGCTTATAATTACAATTGTGATTTTCATTAACCTTAGCTTCTTCCTTTTTTAAAGAAAACCAAAATTAAACTTTTCTATTATTGTGTGAACTGAACTTCTACCTAGACTACCTTCTACCTTCCTGCAGTTGGTTTTATTGAATTTTCTAATTTCCTGTTTTTCAGTCAGCTCTAAAAGGATTATGAGAATATATAAAGGTCTTCATGGACATAAATGTAATTTTATAACAAAAACATACTATACCTGCAACAGGGATCATTTTAATACAAACTGGAAGTTCCCATTGTTCCTTGTAGTTTAGTCCATGATTATTCAGTAAAGTAAATAATGATTGATTACTTAAAACAACTTGAGGACAGTATTTCAAAGCAAGTTTTTCTGCATTTGAATCTGAACTAACATCCTAAACAGAAACAAGTTAAATTTTTAAAGGTTTTTAAGACACACATAAATTTAAATTCATAAGA